AAAAAACAAAATGTACCACTAATATTTAAGAATTTTTTTTCTTGGATATTGTGTAACATATCCTCAACCATGTAATTTTAAATATAAAGTCAATTCTTGGTCACATATAAAAAATAATTAGTAACATTATATGCATTTCCTTTTTATATTGGCTGTCTTACGAGGCTGGCGTGCATTAGAGCTTATCTGGCTTGACACTTGGTCAGGGTTCAAAAGTTCTCCTTGCCATATTCATATGTTTTTATTTATCCTACTTAGAAGGAATTTGGAGTTTTTAATTATTAAACGGATTCCGTCATTAGGTTCGATGAATACTATTAATCGTTTTTTAATGAAATGGTACGCTATTTATTTCTTCCTCAAGAGTCACGACTGTGAGTCAATAATCCTGCTGAGGATTATTTTAAGGTGGATCTTATTTCTGTTTTTTTTTTTTAAAAAATTTCGTATAGAGTTCTAATTCTTTGTATTATTTTATGAAAGATTTTATTTTTCGTTTTTCTTTCAAGCTGTATAAAGGAATCTCTAAAGATTTTACCGTACCCCAATATCCCTCTTTTATTAACTTTCGACATAAAAATTAGCCCAACAAATTTTTTTATATTATTACATCTCAAAAAAAATTTAACCTTTTTTTGTTCCTTTCCACCTATTAAAAAAGTTTTTGAATTGAAATGGTATAAAAAAATTTATTGGGACTAATTTTTATGATAAAAAATCAATAAAAAAAGACGATAAGAGATGAGAATATGATAAAATCTTTAACAGTTTAATTATACCGTTCGAAAGAAAAACAAAAAAAAAATTTACTATAAAATAATATAAAAAATTAGAAATCCATATCAAAATTTTCTAAAACTTAATACCCCTGATAGGTAGGTAGTACGGCAACATTTATTCCTCTATCTTTATTAAGAGCATGTGCGCGATGCATTAAACGCGTCAGAAATGACAAAACACGAGAACCTAACTTTTTCAAGGGTAAATGCAAAATGTCGATACTTTGGAAAAATTTAGACCATCATCACATGGCATGAGATGGACCGAAATACCCTTGGAATGGCAAAATGTATTTAAATTTTTTTGTCAAAATTCACTCGAGAAGTTGACTGATTAATAGTTTATCTACATTTTTTTGAGAAATAATAGTTTATCTGTATTTTTTATTTGATGTCAAAATACAAATTGATATTTACTTGATTTTGATTGGGAATAGTAGAAAAGATATTAAACCATTTAAAAGTCGGGCAAGCATTATATGCTTTCTATACAGTATAGAAGTTCTATATTCTCCTTTATTCAACCGTCCATTCTGAATGGAGGGTTAAGATTACCTCAATCACAATGTCACGTCTCTACACTATTTTACTTTTAAATTTTTTCTATAAACTATTTTGATACCAAATTTTGGATGTCCTTTCTTCTATTAAACTCGCACTAGCGACAAATATAAAAAAAATATTTTGAATGAAATAAAACGATCAAAATACCCTTAAAATTTTTAAGGGGTATTTTGGCCATTATATTTTTTCAAAAAATTATTTTTAATATTTTATATAAGTGCGCCCCAATGAGAAGATGGCACGTACCAAATTTTATATTCATACAATTTGTATAAAAAAATTAAAATTAAAATACTTTGAGATGTCGGATCTAAAATCAAACGGTGAGTGGCTCTCTTGATCAAAATTGAACGGTTAGATGATAAAGGAAGGATATAACTTCTATGCTGCAGGAGACGCATAGAAACCTTTCCTTTAAAAGTAATGGGTATTTTGATAAGTTTCCCAATCCAATGTTCGAGTCATGAGAGGGGTGATGCATCTTGCGCGTGTAGCATGTTATCGCAGTACCGTGCTTCTTGAACACTATCCACAAGTTTGGTTCGAAAGATGTTTTCGACATATTTATCAACTTTTTGAGAAAGAGGCACTTGTTTTAAAAATAGTGTAGATCGAACTTATCTATAAAACTTTGAAAATATTGAAAATTGACAGTCCAAAAATGCATTACAAGATACACTATTTCCTAAACACGAAATCCATTTTTTTCTCATGTCCATGTATCTTGATATTGAGATGATCAATTTGATGGTATATGGGCATCAAAACAACATCTTCTAGTCAAATTTTTGAGGCAAGCTCTATTTTGATTGTTTAGAGCCCCAATTCTATATAAACTTTTTCTTTTGTTTAATTTTTCCTTTAAATACATTTTTAATAACTTCCAAATAATTTATTATTTAAAAAAAAAATTGTAACTTTTTGGCAGGCCAAACACTGTCCAGTTAGAGCGGGTGAACAAACCGGTTTTGGGGTCCGATTTGATTTTTCTAACACCGGTCATTATTATATTTGTGAATCACGTATTTAAAATTCCTAAAATTCAATTGGAAAAGGCGTTGGGAAAGATTATCACAAAGCCCTGCAGAAAGTTAACCTCCTGTACCCCACGTCTCTTTCTCTCGCTCCGTCGTTTGTTCTTTGCAACTGGCCGCGGTTTTCAATGAACTTAGAGACAGATATTTTTTTTTTCATGTAAAAAAATATCGTACAAATATTGATTTTGCTTGAGGAAGATGGAAAATGCCTGATTTCCAAAACTTCAGAACCATGGCACGCACCTCTTTCAATGGCTGACGTACCAGCTTTCAACTCTCTAATTTGTTACGGCCTCGTGTCGGCCAAGATGGATTAGTTTATTTTATCTGTTACTGTTTCAATTGCTAATCCCTTCCATTTCATTGATTGTTGAACGGAAGGTTTAGATTTTTAGACAAAGTGATGAATTCAATTGTCATGCTTTTCTCAGTCGAAAGCACGGTTCTTCTCAGGTAGATCTTTACCCATTCTTTAAGGAAGATATGAATGGTGTGGGATTGGGATTTTCACTCGCAATGCCTTACGTTCATTGAATCTTGGTTTTGCCATGACGCAGTAAAGCTGTAGAGTTGCCTTTAATTTCTAGGGAGCAGTAAGAAAGAGAAGTGGAGGGTAAAAAAAATTATCCTGTAAATGGGAAAATCTAACAAGTTTTTATAGAATAAGTAAGTGACTTTTCAAGTTGAGAGTTGTGATTGCACTTGGTAGTCCGATTGTTCTTCCATTGGTCATAAAGTGCCTCAACCACCGCGCAATGGCTAAAAATAGCCATTGCGACACCACATACACATCGTATCCGGATGTGCAAAAAATCATGTGCCACGATAACCGATCACAACCACCATTCTCTCTCTACTTTGTTCATTCAACTGGACATGGTTTTCTTTGAACTTAAAAACCAATATTTCTCATTTCTTGTAAAAAAATAGGGGACAAATATTGAGAACCACTTTATTGGACCATGGAACCCACCACTTTCTGGTTTTCATGGCCGCCACACGAGCTTTCAACTCTCAATTCATCTCCCTTTGTTACCGTCCTCGTATGTGCTAAAAGGGATTAGTTTATTTCCTGTTACTTTTTTTCATTGGTCGTTGTTGAACGGAAGGTTTAGATTTTTAGACAAAGTGATGAATTCAATCGCCTTGTTTTCCTCAGTTGTCATGTTTTTCTTTAAGGAAAGCTAAGTTCTTGTTTGGTGCTCATTTACTAAGTAACATGTGGATGGTGTGGGATTTTAGGATTTCAGTTGCAACGAGTTAGACTGTGGTACCCTAAGCCTTAAGTTCATTGAATCTTGGCTTTGCCATGATAGAGAAAAATAAGATCCAGAAGAGCACGAATGCTGGAAGAGTGGTAAGCATTACGCATCAGTCTAAGACAGAGAGAAAAGGGGAGAGAGAGCGAGAGAGAGTTCTTGGGAAACTTTAGTGATGAAGCAATCCACTAGTCTGGTGGCTTCGTATTTGTTAAGAAAATTTTGAATTTCTTTCTCGTTCATTCAATGGGAAAAGTTTTATATAGAGCCAATACTCTAAACAATCAAATTAGAGCCTACCTCAAAAATTTCACTAGAAGAGGTTGTTTTGATGCCCAAATATCTTCAAAGCGATCATCTCTATATCAAGATCCATAGACATGAGAAAAAAATGAATTTCAAGTTTTGGAAATAGTGCATCTTGTAATGCATTTTTGAATGGTCAATTTTCAGGATTTTCAAGTTTTTAAAGATCTTCTTGATCTATACTATTTTTGAAGTTTTAAATTTTATAACTAGAGATGAAAAGGCTATCACAAATATTTTCAATGTTAAAACTACAATTAAAAGTGGGCTCTACTTTGATTGTGTTAAAGCTACAATTAAAAGTGAGCTCTACTTTGATTGTTTAGAGCCTTGGCTCTATGCAAACAGAACCCTTTAATTATTAGTAATTGATGGGTGAGTTTGGGTGGAAGCCATTTTCACTCGGTAAAATAAAAAGTTTGAAAAGGAAAGGCGAAACTGCTGTGAGATTGAACCTGGACTTCCTTCCCACGCCAACCCACCCATGGACCTACATATTTGGTCAAACACCCATCAATTTTCCGAAAGGTCCCAGCCTTTTTGCTCGTTAAGAAGATTAGCTAGATGCTAGTGGACATATTCTTTCAAATGCATGAGACACATAAAGAAGTGTAATTAAGAAGTACCAAAAGCATGTAAAAGTTCAATTGATATGTCTCTCAAAATGAGATACTAAGATTTTTGTATGAAAAAAAAAACTCCAAAAAGAAAGTGAAAATTCAGATGTCATACCTCACAAAATAAGATATCTAGATATTTTATAAGCAATCTAATTATTAATACGCAATCTACAAGAACTCAGTATCTTAGACATTTCGAGAGAGAGAGAGAGAGAGAGAGAGAGAGAGAGAGAGAGAGAGTAGTAA